AGAGGTGCCGTGGAAGCCCAGTTAACCTGCCTGCTCCCCCCTTCCCAGGCGTCTACGTGTGCTCCAAGTGTGGCTACGAGCTCTTCTCCAGCCAGGCCAAGTACGAGCACTCGTCGCCGTGGCCGGCGTTCACCCAGACGGTCCACGCCGACAGTGTGTCCAAGTACGAGGAGCGCCCGGGCGCCCTGAAGGTGGGCATGAAGCCTCGCCGGGCGTTCCCTTTGCGGCCCAGACCGTGGCTGGGAAGGGTGGCCGGACAGGCACGTCCCTGTGCTCACCGCTGTCCTCTCTTCCAGGTGTCGTGCGGCAAGTGCGGCAATGGCCTGGGCCACGAGTTCCTCAACGACGGGCCGAAGAAGGGGCAATCCCGCTTCTGAATATTCAGCAGCTCGCTGAAGTTCGTCCCCAAAGGTGAGGGCTTCCCCCTGTGCCTGGCTCCCTGGCTGCCCAGTTCAGCTCGTGGCTCCAGGGGCTGTTGTGGGATGAGCAAGGGACTGGTCCGTCTTCTGGTTTTGGGGTGCATAATCCCAGCCCAGACCCCTGCGAGCAGTGCTTCATCCAGTCCTGCCTTGGCTGTGGTGCTCTTTTTCCGAACTTCCCTCTCTTCTTTGTCCTCAGAGAGGGTCAGCCACAGTCCAGGATTGTGGCTGCTCTGAGTCCCACACCAGAAACGACCACGGTGGCCATAAAGGATCCCGGAGCGGGGTGCAGGGAGTGGGTTTCATTTTGACCCATTCAGCTCACCTGACAAGGACCCTGACTGGCTTCAGGGATCCCAGACCTGCCTTCCAGGCTCGAAGGTTTATGAGCAAAGCCCCTTTGAGTTTCCAAGGAGCGGAGGCAGGTCTCCTGGGAAGGGATGGAGCCGCCTCTCGGAGGCTTTGCTGTCCCTCAGTGATGGAGGAGCTGAATGGCTGGGTGTTTGGGTGAAGAGGGGGGCCATGAACTTGCTCATTCATTTTAGCTCCCTGCCGCCGTCTAACGGGTCGCCGCCTGTGATAATTAAGTGTCGCAGAAGCTGTAGGAGAGACATGAATACTGCCTCCCCTCCCCCTCTGCCTTGCAGATGAGGAAGCTGAGAAGCTGACGGCTTCCTCACACCGTGGGGTTTTCCTCGGTCGACGGGTCCGGGGACAAGCCCAGAGCATGTGATCCCAGTCCAGCTTCTGGCCCCAACCCCGTGGCGCTTGTGAAATAGGAGCTGTGGGTGCACGAGGCTAGTGAAAGCCGCTCTGAACGGGCTGACGCTGAGTTTCTCTCCGTTTTGCAGCCAAAGCAGACCAGGGGCTGACAGGGAAGTAAGCGAGCTGCCGCACTTCACGTAGAGGGAGGACCTGCAGGCTTCTCCGGCACCATACTTCCCAGCGCAGACCCATACCAGTCTCTGGAGGCTGGGCACTGGCTCATGGGTTGGGAGAGCACCAAAGCCACGACCCAGGCTGGACACAGGGAAGCTGCCACTGGCACTGTTATCAGTCTGGTCCTGCTTCCAGTGCTGTCACCTCCCCAGCCCCAGGTGCCCACTGCTGAATGCCTTGGCCTCTCTGCTATAAGTAGGAAGTGTGGCTGAAACTGGTCCCGCTGACCTCAACGGGAGTTTTGCTGTTGGCTTCCCTGGAGCCAAGGTTTCACCCTTACCTCCGCAGTGGAGAGGAAGCAGGCGCCGGGCTCCGAACGGTTCCCCCCTTGGGAAATCCAGCCAGTGCCCTGGGGCAGGCAAGGGCCACGCTGGGTTTCCCCGAGGGGAGAGCCTGGCCCTGCTCACCTGTGCTGTTTTCTGGCCTGGGATCGTGGTATGAATCACCCCATGTAAACTCCCCCAGGAGGGCTGGGGCGAGGATGGTTATATGATCCGGCCAGACAACGGCCTAGGCTTGTCCTCGGATTTGCACAGAATAGAAATGATTTCACAGCCTGATTCGGGTTCTTGGTCTGACTGGGGCCTGTCTTGCACTGGGTTTATTCTTGCCTCGCCCCATCAGCATTAGCAAGCGTGACAGCCGATTTCCGCTGGCTTTGGCCGGCTTGGCTACAGCACGCATCACCCAGGCTTTGAACCCCGTGTTCACGTTACCTCTTGATACCAAAGGTCTGCAACACTGATTCCCCAGAGTGCAGTGCCTGGGTCCTGCTGCCTTTCCCCAGGGCCAGGGTCTCACCTCAGGCCTTCTTGGTCTCTCCACAACACGGCCACTCTAAACGCACAAGGGGGTCCAGCTCTCTTGTCCAAGTCTCCTGCATTGCCTCCTTGGAGAGGCTGCAGCTGCTCTGTTCTCTGTGAGTCCAGAGTCCAGCAGGCGTGGTGCATTGGTGCCCCAGTCCTGCAGGCAAAACCCCCCTTGGCTTCAGGCGTGCAGGTTCAGGCCGGTATATGAGATCAGGCCTGACAGGAGCCCTGCCTTTAGCCACCGGTGCCCTTTCTATCTGGGGACGCAGCCACAAGGCCCTGCGAGAGCGGTGCAAGGAAGGAACCTGCCACGGGGCCAGCGGTGTTGCAGTTCATCTGTACTCAGGGGCACTTGACCAGCTCTTCACACCATGGCACTGGCGGGGGGGGCCCTGCCCCTGCAAGCACCTGGTGTTTGCTGCTGCTTTTGCACTTGCCTCTATACATGTTGACCTGATAATAAACTTGATTTCCTCTGATGGAGAAGCAGCTTGTTTTTGAGAACCGTCCTGCTGGGAGCCCACAGGGTGCAGGGCACGTGTTGTGAGCTCCAGTTTTATTGTCCTGTTTTCGTGGTCCTGGCATACTAACTTTATAAATCAGGAGGTAGAAAACATATTTCTCATCTGGCCCCAAAAATGCGCTGGATGCTTCAGAGCCATGTGTCTGAATCCTGACGTGTTGTGAGCTTGCTGGGCCCTGTTTTCCTCTGACTTCGTGCAGCGCCTAGCACAAGCTCCAGCTTCAAATATGTTTTAGAGGACAAGTCTATCGAAGGCTGGTTGTGTGTCTAGGACTTCAGACAGGCTCCCCTCACTAGCACGCTGGGGCACTTCCAATGTTAAGCAGCAATAGCCAAGTCACTGGCCGGTTCTCAGAGTCTCTGGTCATCCTTCCTTTTCTGGGCCAAAGCTTTACGTTCCCTTTCTTTAACGTTCAAGCTGATTTATCCCAGGGTCATTTTTATGCTTGGGGCTGGCTGCGGGTTTATGAAGACAAAGGGAGCTGAGCTGGTGAGTCTCGGTCGGACGGCAGGGCCGTATCCAAAGACCTGCCAGTGAAGAGCCGTTTGCAAGGTGAGAAGCTGGAACTGTAACGGCCGAGTTGCGCACCTCAGGAGCATCCTGCGCCGGGTTCAGAAGCATTTTGTCTGCTGCTGAGCTCTGGGTGGGCACGTAGGAGAGGTGTTGGCTTGCCAGGAAGGACAGTGTGTGCATGGGTGTGCGTGCGTGTACGGACACGCATGCACGTGTGCCCAGTTTCCTTAGGAGGAAGTGCATTAAAAGACAAGAACAGAACTAAGAGTGCAGGCAGTGTCAGGACCTGCTGCCCATCCATTGCAGCAACCACGTTCGGTCCTAGGGCTCGGGCGTGGATATAGGTTTCCGCCCGGCACTTGTCATCTCTCGGCTACCTCACGCAGTAGAGCTGGACTTCGCTTTGTGCCTCTGATAGCATGAAATCTGCCTCCCCCCCCTTCACCTGCCCTTTGCACTCTTCAGTATGCTTGCGCTCTTGCTGGTCACTGATTCCTGCTGCCGAGACCAGTGCCCCGATTGTAGTCGGATGCATTAAACACTTAATGTCAATCCTGGCTCCGTTGCAGAAGCTGCTCTTCCAGGGCTCTGTGACAGGTCCAAGCTGCTCAGCCTTTGATTTGCTCATCCCAAGCGCCAGGCAGCTCAGCACTGCCTGGCTGCCTTCTCCCTAAGGCATTCGCTGCAGGGCTCCCCGGGGATGAGAGCATGGTGGAGCCTTTGGCATGCCCCACTTCTCCTTTCCTTCAGCAGGAGGAGGAGACATGCCTGCCATTGCAAAAGTGCTTGCAGCAGTGGAGGCTGCAAGGGCCCCTTCCTCTTCTCACACTCGCCCCTAAACGGCCTGGTGCCAGCAGACAGGGCTGGCACATCACGGCAACATTGCTGGTCAGGACGCAGGGAGGTCAGAACGAAGACATCTGCCTTGGCAGAGTTTGTGGGGGTGGGAGAGCACAGGGCTGGAGCAACAGGGTCCCATGGGGCTGGCACGAGGGTATAAGGTTGGGTGGAAGAGCATTGTCCACGCAGGAGATGATGTGGGGCATGACCATGGTGCGGCTTGGTTCCAGGGCTCGGGGTTGATTCAGCAGTGTTAAAGCTGAGACCTCGCTGCAGGCGTCGGGGCCAGGAGCATCCGTCCGGTCCTTATCTGAACATCCTGGCACAACAGGGCCACGGTCCTTGTCTGGGACGGCTCCAGGACACCCAGTTCAGAGTAACAGCTCTGGAAAGGCCTGCCTGTGGATCATCACAGTTCGTGTGTAGCACCCCAGACCTGACGCTAGGTGGCATGGCAGCCTCGCCAAACTGCTCGGTTCGCCCCCAAAAAGGAAGCGGCTGGTTTACAAGCCCTGGCTGTTGCATGGGTGTCCTGAGCAGGAGGAGCTGATGCCCCTGGAGCTGCTGCTGCTCGCTTGCTAGCAACCTTGAAGGCAGTGAGCACAGGTCACCAGGGCCTGAGGGCACTCTCTGGGCTCCCTGGTGCCATGGATTGGGCTCACTCCCTGCCTGGCCCTGCTATAGCATCCTCCCCGCCTCGCTGGGCTCTGGGTTGAAAAGCCAGGCTCCCTTGCTGCTCTCCTGCCTGCAGACTGTGCTCAGGGCTCTTCTGTAAGTGTCAGGCAGGCAGACTCCGGCTCCAAGCCCGGATCTCGGGTGGAGCCGGCGAGCCTGCAGCTTTCCCCCCTCGTCCCTTGAGCAAGCACCTCTTCTTCCAGGCTCCGTGCAGGGGTTTAGCGCAATGGGCCTATGAATCGCTGCTAGCTTCTGTGCTGGGCATCAG